AATATGTGAATTTGTGGGTACATCACCCCTTGATCAATATTAGCCTGTTAGTCTTTCTCTCCAATCTCTCCTAACTCCACTCATCCCTTCAATTTTCTTAGTTTCATAGGATATACGTTGAATATTATAATTAACTTTTCTGTTTACATCATATTCTTTTAAGTCATATTCTATTTCTGTCTAACAATACCTTGGTTCTCTCACTCAATGAGGTTTGAAAGTGTTCTGGCATCTGGAAATGAAATTTACTAAACCTTTCAAGAGCTCCACTCAAAGTGGAATTAGTTAATTTGCATATTGTGATTTGACATGCACAACTCCATTTATTTGATGGGTAGGGAAGGGTGTGTGCAATTGGGGTGGGTGAGACCTTCCAGTAGTCTGAGGAAGGAGGGCCTTAGAGTGAAATGCCTGTGGTATACGTCCTCACCTTTTCTATATTCTCTGTCTCCTGGTACTGCCAAACCAAGGCAACATTTATACACCAGAACCACACAAACAATAAATATTTCATGGGAAGGTCAGTAGGACCAAGTGAAATTAAGAGAAAGTCTTCAGGGCAGCTGAGGAAATAATATCCAGATAATGTATGAATTACATTATTGTAATGGATTTGGTGAAACTAATCATCTAAAGTAAATATTAAAATAGGCTACATTTTACTGAAACAGAAATTTCCTCTCTCCCTTCTTTCATTTATTGCTTTCTCTTTTTCTTCTTTCCTTTTTTATAGAAGAACTTTTAAAAGTGGGAAGAGGAAAAATGCAACCCATAAGTGTTTATTTTCTTAGTACTGGCATCTTGGACTGATCCACTAGAACTGGAATTATGGCAAGAAAATCCACTCTTCCAAGAGTACTTTTTCCAAGCAAAATAAGTCATGGGCTTAGTGGTGGGTGAAATAGAGAATATTTCAAATTCCTTGAAACATCTCAGAATTGTTTTTTTTTTTAAAGTGGGTCTTGGAAATACCTTTGACATGCTTTTATCCAAGTATGTAATCCCTTGAGAACTATGTACATATAAAGACGTTTTATTTCTTAATCAAAGACATATGAAAGGTACTTTTGGAAACTTATAAACCTTTTTAAAGTACTTGCTTTCTAACTCAATTTAGCAAAAAAAAAAAATCCCCAACACTACAAAAACATACAGATAGCCAGAGAATAAATACTCAGTATCCTTAGTGCAAGGGAAACGCCTGAAAAAAACTATAAGGAGACACTTGGGTACTAGACAACTACAATGAGCAATGCAGACATCATAAATGCTGAAGAGGATGTGGAGTAACTAAAACTCTTATAGATTGCTTGAGGAAATGCAGAAAAGAACACTAGACAAAAATAGATGTATGTCTTCCCTGGAACCTATCAATTCCAATTTAGATATTTACCTGAAAGAATTTAAAAAATATATCTATAAAAATCTATACAACAATGTTTATTAAATCAATATGAATTAAAAAAATAAGATAATGGATCAGAATATTCACAAAAAGGAACACTACTCAGGAATAGAAATAGGATCAACCACTGATACCTGAAATGCTATGAATGAAGCTCAAAAACAGGTTGAATGAAATAAGATCCTAAAACCCATGTTATGTGAGTCCATTTACATGGATTTATAGAGTAGGCAAAACAAAGTCAGTAGCTAAGTAAAATACTTTGTGGGATGATAAAGTATATTTTTGATACTATGAAGTATATGATTTTATACATTTTATGCAGATGATTTTATACATTTATACATTTTATACATCACTCAAAATATGCATATAAGGTCTGTGTACTTTATTGTGCTTAAATTATATCTTAACTTTTTATATTTAGGACTAGACACCAGTGGCTTACACCTGTAATCCTAATCCAGCCTCATCAAAAAAGTCTGAGAGACTCTTATCTCTAATTAACTAGAAAAAGCTGATTGAAGGTATAGCTCACGTGGTAGAGCACTAATTTAGCAAGCATAACTCCTTGAGTTCAAATCCTAGTACTACCAAAAAACATTAAACTAAAAGGAGAAGTAAGTTATTTCTCAGATTTAAAAATCACTTTGTATTTAAAACCAAAGTAAAAACTTTTAAAATACAATGTCTTAATTTAAGCACAAAACTTTGTCTAATTATAAAGTTTTGTATGAAGCTAATATAATAAATACTTATGATAAGCAAACATGATTATATGTGATTCAGAATCATATTTCAGTGTTTGACATGGTTCTTAGCACATTCACAGTGCCAAATACACGTGTTGGGTTTAAGAATGAATGAACAGCCATCATATAAAAAAAAGTATCTAATTTTTCTATTTGTTCGGCCAATGGAGATGGTATACCAGTGGAGATTGTCATGTCTATTTTCCTCTGCCTAGATCTCTGCTCTTTCTCTCTCTCTTTGGTCTTCTAAGACAGTGATTCTCAAAATTGAGAGGGCTAAAGAATCATCTGGAACCTCCGTCCCACTTTCCAGAGTGGTTGAACATGTTTATATTCTCACCAACAGTGTAGTAGCATTCCCTTTTGGCCACATTCTGCCAGCATCTATTATTGACAATTCTAACTTGAGGTGAGGTGAAATCTAAATATTGTTTGGTTTGCATTTCTTTTATAGCCAGAGATATTGAATATTTCTTCATGTGTCTATTCTTCTGAGGAGTCTCTCTTTAAGTCTTTAGCCCATTTTTTATTGAGTTGTCATTGTTTTTGAAGGTTTATTTTTAAGGGGGAAGTATTTTTTGAGTTATAAGTTTATTTTCCTCAAAAGATTAAACACAGTATTTCCTGTGACCCAGTAATTCCACTCCTGGGCATTTATCCAATAGACCATAAACAAGGTCACACTAAAGCTGCCAGAACCATCATGTTCATTGCAGCATTGTTTACCATAGTCAAGACAAATGGATGAAGAAAACACAATGGAACTCTATGCTTCCACCCGAAAGAATGATATTGCACCACTCATAAGGACATGCAAAGACTAGGAAAAATTATATTAAATTAAGTAAGCCAGACCCAAAGAAATGTAAGTTGAATGGTTTCCCTTGTAACTAGAAAGTGACTATAAATTTATACTCAAACACACTGGATGGTAAAAGACAAAAAAAAAATACATTTGGACCATGATAAATTATATAGGATTCTAGACATTCACACAGTGAGCTCAAAGAAAGATATTCTTTAGAGTGGATCACAAAGTTTCAATAGTTATGATCCTATGATCGTATAAAATGATGTTTACCAAAATGAAGTCCAAGAAATAGAAACAAGATATTTTATGTTATTTTGCTTCTTGTTTTTTCCCCCTTGTTTGTTGCTGTTTTGTTTCAGCACCTCTTGTCTTATAGGTAAGTTTATCTGTGTGGGGGAGGGTAATGAGGAGCACAGAAAGGGTAGAACCAAGGATGAACAAGTGCAGTAGTGGTACGCACTAGACACTATGTTGAAAATGAACTCTACAACTTGTTGGGGTCTGGGGTGGAACCTGGGAGAAAACAAGGGAAGAGGTGACATGTTTCACAAAGAAACATACTCATTACCTGACATGTAACCCCTCTGTACAGCATCTTTATAATAACAATAATTAAAATTTAAATGTAATTCAATTTTAAATTTAAATTTAAAAATTAAAAAAGAACCATCTGGCCAAGTGCCGGTGGCTCACAACTGTCATCCTGGCTACTGAGGATCGCTGTTCAAAGCCAACCACCATAGGAAAGTCCTTGAGACTCTTATCTCAAATTAACCACCAGAAAACCAGAAGTGGCGCTGTGGCTCAAATGGTAGAGTGCTTGCCTTGAGCTGAAGAGCTCAGGGACAGAGCCAGGCCCAGAGTTCAAACCCCATGACCAGAAAAAAAAAAAAAAAGAAGAAGAAGAAGAAGAAAAAAGAAAAGAAAAGAGAAAATTAGTACTATCTGGATGGTGTGTTAAAACACACATGGCTGAGACTCAGCCTCAGACTTTCTAATTCTGGTAACTCTGGAGGCAATCAGAGACCTGTATTCCCAGAGACTTGTGTTTGTAGCTGGTTCCCAAGGGATAGGACTGGGGATGTTGCTTGGTGTGAGACACCACACTTGGAGGACTATTGCTTCATGCACTTATTCATCAGATCAAGGACTTTCGGACTTTCCAACTTGTAACCATCTTTCCCAACTACCTTCAGCCCTTTCCTCTGAGCTTTGTCACATAAAACACTGTAGCATTGGGCTGGAAAGGTGGCTCAGTGGTAGAGCGCTTGCCTTGCATGCTTGAGGCCCTGGGTTCGATTCCTCAGCACCACATAAGCAAAAAGAAAAAAGCCGGAAGTGGTGCTGTGGCTCAAGTGGTAGAGCGCTAGCCTTGAGCTGAAGAGCTGAGGGAAAGCGCCCAGGCCCAGAGTTCAGGCCCCACGACCAGACCTCCCCCCCACCAAAAAAAAAAAAAGCTGTAGCATTGTAAGTGTGTATTTGCTACTGGTTCTTTCCCCCTTGGTTTTTTCCCCTTATTTGGAAGAAAATTTATCTATTTAGGAAGATCATACCTTCATACCTCTAGAGGAAGATCACATCCTAGACATTCTGACTTACATGTCTGTTCTCTGCAGCACTTCCTAGGTGATAAGTAGTTGTAAATGCTAAAGATCTTAACATTTATACACTCTGTTGAAACATGCAAACAAAACAAAATAAACATGAGGGCGTGAGTGCTTGAAAGGTGTGGGTGCCTTGGAGGAGAGAGGGATTGACAAATGAAGAGGAGAAGAGGGAGAATGCAGCAAGAATTCAATGTATAATCCTACAAAATTAAGAAGAGTGAGGGAAAGGGTGGGTAGAGGAAGGATGGGTAAGAATGTCAAAAGGAATGACATCAACCAAGATATATTATATTCATAAAGGTTAAATGGCAACTCGTTTGTACAACTATTTAAAGATAATAAAAGTAAATTTAAAAAACACTATTCATACAAGTGCAAACATTTTGGTAATAAAAAAATTAGCATGTTCTATTAGGATGCATTACCTGTCATTGGGACACTGACTTGGCAACGTCCAGTCATGGTGAGGATTGATGAGGAAACCCCAGGACAGGAAGACTGAGCTTGGTGTAAGCGTGCCAACCACCAGCTGGAGAGGTTTGCGAGGGCGAGATTTACCTAGGGATAGAACATGCAGGTGAACTCCAGGAGCATTTAGTGTGCTTGTAAGTCTTCCAAAAAAAATGCCTAAACCTCACTTGGAAAGATCATTTAAAAAAATCTGGAAAAAATTAAAATATAATATTAATTAAAATAAATTATAATAATTTTTTCCATGAATTGAAACCTAAGCCAAATAGAATGTTTAACCAGATTTATGTATGCATATATGTAAAAAGTACATGTGTATACACCTAAACCATGTCCAACAGATTTCATTTGTTCTGAGTTATAGGTGGGCATGATGGTCTTGGCTATGTTTAGTGATGCAAACACATATATGCATACTGAAGTGCATATGTACATACACACATACCGCTCGTGTTTCTTTCATAGATAAAAGCATAGTTTTCCCCAACACCAGGATGGTGAGTAGGAAATATTACATAAGAGGAGGGAAGAGCACTTATCATAGAGATGGTAGCCATTTAGAAGCTGGGCACCAGTAATTCATTTCTGTAATCCTAGGTACTAGGGCAGCTAAAGTTCAGGAGGATCACAATTGCCAGCCGGCCTAGGCAAAAAAAGTTTGCAACCCTGTCTCAAATGAAGAAGTTGGACATGGTGGTGTATGATTGTCATTCTAATTGTAGTGAGAAGCATAAATTGGCAAATTTTGGTGCAGACAAAAAGTGAGACCTTATTTTAACCAGTGCAAAATAGGACTAGATGTATGGCCTCATTATCACCAAAATTAAAAAAATTAGAAGTGTGAAATCTCTTGATGTGGTCTTGTAGTGGACATACGTTGTACACTATGCCACAATGAAAAAGGTGGGCACATTGTTAAGAAAGGTGGAAGAAAAGGATAATACACTGGATTGGGGCTGTGGCAAGAGTCATCTTGATGAATCGTTAGAGATTCTTTAAGTACAGAGGGGTAGTAGGCATTTGCATGCTCAAAATCATTTGAACTATTAGAATAAGAAGATGGGGGGGGAAGATAAACCTTATCTGTTGGCTCAATCAGGGTAAATGAAATAAAAATCCTAAAAGCAGCCCAGGAAAACTGCCTAGAGCTAACATTAAACGTACATAACTTCCTAATGCCATTCAGTTCTCTAGTAATTGGATGAGACTAACTATGCTGCCTTTGCTACAGGAAAAACTGTATTATCTTAATCCAGTGGAGTGGGAGCCAAATAGAAAAAACTAATTTGACTTAAGGCCAGAAGGAGGGCATCCATTGTATAGCCAATTGGCCTTTATCTAAATCAAATGCTTTTGTTTGTACAACTGGTTTATATTCTGTAAATATTTATTCTGATAAATCTTTTGCATTCAGAATGTGTGTGTGTGTATGTGTCTATGTGGCAGCAAAGTTCCTCATTGTACTATAGTAGGCTGATTTAACTGATATATAAAAATTGTACATATTTATGGGGTGCCTTGTAATGTTTCAGTAGCTGTCTGCCTTCTGTAATGTTTAAATAAGGTAAACTTATTTCCTTAAACATTTGTCATTTCCTTATGGTGAGATCCTGCTGTGCCTCTGAAGGGGACTGTGGTGTCTCAGTCCCTTCGTCTTTCTCTCTTTTGGCATTCTGGCCCCAAGATTGGCATGATGCTCTTCCAACAGCTTTAGGGCCAACAGATTGTGGACTGATACCTCTACAAATTGTGAGTCGCAATGATTCTTTTCTTGATCACCTCAGACCTTTGTTATAATAACAGAAAATGGACTAATACATGTAGTCACCCACTGTGCTGCAGAGCTCCACAGGTTCTCTTAACAAGGATAGTTGACTTTTAACCATGGTCTGAAATAATTTACATTTCCTTGTTTGCAAGTATACATTCATTCCTTCCTTGAAAATTTTTCCAGATCCATCTGTAATCGTGCCTCATTTGGTAATGACTTGAATGGTTCACATTCAGGCTCCAAGGAAGGATGATGAGACTCTTGACTAAGGGTAATGAGCACATATAGTTTGAAAAAAATAGAGAGAGGTGATTCTGCTATTCTTTTTTCCATCACTTATTTGATTTTTTTTGGTTTTTGTTTTGGTAGCCTAGGGATGGAACTCAGGGCCTGGGCATTGTCCCTGAGCTTCATTTGTACTCTACCACGTGAGCCACAGTGCCACTTCCAGCTTTTTCTGCTTATGTGATACTGAGGAATTGAACCCAGGGCTTCCTGCATGCTAGGCAAGCACTCTATTGCTAAGCCACATTCCCAGTCCCCACTTATTTGATTTTTTTACCACAATAATATTTTACAGATGAAAAATAGGATCCAGAGAAGTCTCAAAGGGATGTAAATCACATGTAAAACAAAACAAAACAAAACCCTCACATTTAGGTCTTCTCAATCATTTTCTAGTTTGCTCTTTATTATATATCAATGACCTAATTCATAATATTCAAAGATAATGTTAATTAAAGATAACAATAGTGTATTTTTGTTTCTAAGGGATCTACAGGTATGTACAACCAGTTATTTCACTAAGTCTTAAATCTTCATATAAAAATGACAAAGTAAGTAGAATTTATATGCTGATGCAAATAGAAATTGAAAGGAAGCTAATCCATTAGTGATTACATTACTCCCACATGAACATTATGAAAACAAAAATTATGTCTGTTGCCTGAAAGGAAAGGTGGGGTATCATATCCTGAGCAAGATGAAACAATTTCCTGAGCTAGTCATAATGAAGTGGGAAAAAATGACTCTAAGGCCAGTGTCATAGAAGCCTCAATGCAAAATTATAAAACATTACTAATGTGTAATGATAGTCTTGACTTCCCTCATATATTTTCCTTTGTGTTGTGATCCTATTAGATTGAGAAACAGTTCAATGAATATTCTTATGAAACCAGATTCTAATATACCACATGAATGCTTTCTTACTTTATTGTTGAGTTATTTAAAAATACTAGTCTTGAAATTCTGGCAGTATAATTATTATAAAGGAAAAAGAAAAGATAATCAAAACTCCAATGAACTGTATCTGCAGAGATAGAAAGACACTGCAACTTATAGAAAAAGCATATTTCACAGCTTCTACTGACTTTTCTTTAGATCAATATTTTTTATTTGACAAAAAATCTTAATAGTCAACTTAGACCATGGTTTAATCTTCCTTTGGTCATGTAGATACATTCAGCATGCTTGCATATAAATGAGTTAACTATTTTCTATATAAATGTCTCCTTAGCTGGGCACTGGTGGCTCACACTTGTAATCCTAGCTACTCAGGAGGCTGAGATCTGAGAACTGTGGTTCAAAGCCAGCTTGGGGCGGGGAGGCTGGGAAGGTGGCTCAGAAAGAAAAAAGCCGGAAGTGGCGCTGTGGCTCAAGTGGTAGAGCACTAGCCTTGAGCTGAAGAGCTGAAGGACAGCGCCCAGGCCCAAGTTCAGGCCCCACCACCGGGCCAAAACAAAAACAAAATAAAACAAAGCCAGCTGGGGAGGGAAAGTCCATGAGACACTTACCTCCAATTACCCACCAAAAAACCGGAAGTGGTGCTGTGGCTCAGAGTGGTAGAGCAAAATAACTCAGGGACAGAGCGCCCAGGCTGAGCTGAAGCCCCACAACCAACATTAATTAATTAGTCAATTAATAATCTCCTTAAGTAAATGTTAGACACTTCACCCATAAAACCCAAATGTCATAATACCTGGTGAGAAGTCACACACTACAAAACAGAAAGAGATTAACAGGAGCTAGCACCAAATGAGCATTGACCACAGGCCAGGCATTGTCATTAACTCAATCTTCTAGGCAATCTTATTGTGCAATAGAACCAAACCTAAACTGTATTCAGTAATTTGACTGAACCTCAGCTGTTTGGGCACAAGATGCTGGGTAGATTCTTCTACCTGGGGTAGATGGCTTCTCTAGGTAAACTGTCAACTGAGGGCTTGCGTCCCTCTATTCTATGCATTCCTGACACCTCCAGGGCATTTGGTCACTGTGTAGGGCAAAAGATGAAAATTGATGGCTTAAAGTTACTAAAAGAAAATCAGAGAAAATGACAATACCTGAGCATGACTTCTTTTGAGTTGGAGGAGGAGCAGGTCGCACAACTATCAGATATTTCGGTTCTGCATCTGAAAATATTGTAAGATTTAGCAGCAAAATACTTGAAGAACCAACACTGAGGTTACATACCCATGTTCTGACTCAGCATTCCCTTGCATTCGTTATTCTCCATAACTGAAGGACCAGTGAATGGGAAGACGTAGGAAATAGGAAGAGTTAATACTATGGGAGATGTCTATTAAATTTAACTAGAAATTAAAAGCTCAATGGGCAAGGGAGGGAAGGAACTCTTTAAAAGTTATTTCAGGTTTTAGGCCACGTTTTTATCATTCTTTTTATTATAGAATTTTTTCATTCCAGTCATATCTATCCTGTCCACAGGCTCCTCATAGATGGGCAGATTGATATTTCAAAGTCAGAGAAAAAAGCCATTTTTTTTCAGAAGACATATAGATATCATTTGTCTACAGCCTAAAACTAAAAAAAGTCTTACTTATTAAGCCTTACTTAATTTTTCCTGTGTTTTATAATTTCTCATACTGTTTTCATGTCCGACTAGTCATTTTTACTGAACAAATTTTGAAATCATAGTGTATAACTTGTCTTAATGTATACATATTAATAAAATGTTAATCGAAAATTTTAATGGGTTTTAAATAAAATGTTAATATCACTTAGTGTGTGCAAACCCAATAAGGGACTAATTATAAAATAAATTTTAAAAATAGATGCATTCAAGATAAATAGTTTCATTAAGCATATTTAAGTTAATCTGGTATGTCTAGGGCATATAAAATACCATCATATCAACAGTTCTATCTCATTAACTGGTAAATGGGTATTATATATGATATTTCCACATCAGGAAATTCATTTCTCACCAAATTTTCTTTGAATATGTAGTCACCTAGAGTTCAGCTTACCTGCTCATTCAGAACACATTTGTGTCATTGTTTTGCTTATTATGAGTTTAAATAAGTCTTCTTGCCCTAGGCTCTACAGAGCTAATTTCATTTTCAATTGAGACCACTCTTTTTTTATTGGACATGCCACACAGCACCCTTTGCTAAAACCTTCTACGACTGTAGAAAACAACCCGGACAACCTCTTAAAGAACCCCAGGCTATGTACCTGTGGATCACATTGTCTCCAGACCACCAAACAAATCAAGAGGCATTCATGCAATCCCAGACCCATGTGGCTCTAAGTGTATTTTGCTAACTGGGATTCATATAAGGAACATGCCATCAAATCAACCAAGTAGGAATATACTAATTATTGCTTGATTTTCTTAGGAAAACGCAGGTAATAACAAGCTAAGATCTATGGAGTGTTTCCTGTGTGAAAAATACTGTTAAAAGCTTTACATTCATACCTAATTACTCCTCCTGACCATCCTGGCATGTGCTGTTACTCCAGCTGGTAATCGCGAGAGCACTAAGGCAGGGTCCCCTGAGGCTGAGTCAGCCCACACACAGCCACTATATGCAGAGATCCCATGCTTAGCTTAGTAGCCAAGCATGTTACTATCTTGAAATACTTCATATTTTATTTTTGAACCTGTGCTTTAAAAGAGAAGGCTGATGGGACAATGTAGCACGATGTAAAGGCAGTCGGAACGTGCTGGTGTGTGAATTTTTGCCTTCCCTTTGTATCCCAGGTGACTCGTTAGCGTTTATTCTGAAGACTCTTAATGAGCAGCAGGACTCAAGTAGAATTGGGCAAATGTCACACTTCCAGCAGACATGCCACACTGCTCATTTGAGCCAGACCTGGCTTCACATGGAGTAAGAAGGCAAGGTGATTAATAAAAACAAACAAACAAACAAAAAAAACCACACGTAGGAGCCCTCTCTCACCCCTGTTAGTTCCCTGTATAGCCAACCCTCTTGCTGGCAATAGTAACATGGAAGGAAATAACAAGATGGGCAACTCATAATTACTCTTCAGCTCTTCCTCACTCATAGGTCAATAACAAAGTAATGTGAAAAACCATGCTGACACTCCTTGGTACTAATAATATACATTAAAATAATGAATGGGAGAACGAGCGAGTAAAACAGGTGGATGGGTATCAGCAGGAGTGGGAGGGTGAATGAAGAGAGCAAATGGGAAAGAATTTGGTTGTAAGACTTCATTGTAAGTATGACAATAGAACATTGGAATGATTTTAAATTGTTTTAAGAAGGAAGCGAGGAGGACAAGGGAGAGCGGGAGAGCATGAGGCTGCGGGTACATTGCATGCATATATGGAAATGCTACAGTGAAATTCCCTGTACAACAAATGTATGCTAATAAAAATTTAAATAAATAAACCTCCTCAGCTTGCACTTCCGGAGTGGATGGACCATAACTCTTCTCGCTCAGATGACATTGACTAAGGTATTTTAATAGAATATGTTTAATATGGTAGTAGAATATCATAAAGTATAAGGTTAAGAAACACTTAAATTGAGAAAATTCTCTTTTTTTACTTTATAGGACATTTGCAAAATTATCACTAGGTGAATATAAAAATAAGAAGCAAAAGTTTAACAAGCAAACCAGACATATGAACATTCAGAATAGGAGTAAAAATAAATGGAGTTCACAGGAATCTGTGAAATGTGAACCATGTGTTTTCACCTTAGTTCAGGGCTTTGGGGGCCATTAATATTTGTTGCCAGCCACGTGGGAGACTAGTACATTTTTTACAAGTTCCAGTTAACCTACTGCAGCCTTAGATCAATGTTTACAGAAATTTCATACGAACATGAATTCCAGAAATGAGAAAAGGAAATATTTAATGTTTTTTCTTTATATTTTTGCATGTAAGACCAGTAAATGACTTTAAAAAACGACTGTCTACATTCAGCAGGCAGATTCTAACGTAAGTATAAAGAGCCTTTTAAGTAATCAGTAGGGAATTAGTCCAGAGACACTGCATATTAACTTGAATATTTCTGAATAATGAACAGCTTCTCATTTCACAATGAAATACCATGATAAACAAGATTGCTTACATTTTAATCACCTAATCAATGACAAAGGAGAATTAAGGTTACAAGTAGAATTAGGGTTGCTAATCAGCTGACCTAAAAATAGGGACAGTATCCTGGATTATCCAGAGGGGCTTAATACAGTCACAAGATTTCTTAGAAGCAGAAAAAGAGGAGGCCAGGGTTGGGATGTGATAAAAGGTGAGCTTTGATCCACTATTAACGTTGAGGTGGAAGAAGAATGCAGGCTGCTTGAAGAAGCTGGATAATGCTAAAATACCAGATTCTCTCTTCAGTGCCTCCATAAAGGATTGCAGCCACACCTACAGCCTATGTGTAGCTCACTGAAGCTCACTTTACACTTCTGACCAACATCTGAAAATAATACATTTCTAATGTTTAAGTCACCAACTCTGATGTAAGATTATAGCAGTAGCCCAAACCTAATGTATAGCGCTTAATCAACTAGAAACAACTAATGCAAATACATTAATGGAAAACTCTAAGTAATCATTTAAGTAACCAAAAGAGTGACATTTAACGTGGTACACAAGTCCATTTTTGAAGTGATAAAAATAGAAACACACACATTCCTTGGCATAAGGAAATACTGGAAAGGAAGCATGTACGAGGGTTGTTTTTCTGCTTCTGCTATAGAAAGGGGATGAATATTTTTAAAAACAACTATTAAAAAAAAAACAGGTAAGAGCCTTAAAAAAAATGCTACTTGGAATGGCCTCCTAGGAAATCTAGAATCTTTGTGTCAACATTCTTAAGAACACACAATAACTAGTCTATGTTGTAGTCTACCTGAATGGCTTTGAAATGTACTTGTCTGATGACAGAGCTTATAGAATTTTCTATAGTCTAAATATTTCACACAGATTTGAGTCTAGTAGATTCTATGCCACATATATTTACTGCCTGTCTACTCAATATGAATCATTTGGATATGAATAACCAAGGAACAAGACATAAGCCTAGGCTTTAAGCAGCCCACAATTTACTAATCAAAGTAAATAAACAATCATGCTCAAGTTAGAAAAAGTTGAAAATTTGAAGGATGGGTAAGATATTGAAATAAACATTAATTTATGGAATCAATCTATTCTTATTGATCCTAAAACAGTATCATTACTTGTCAGAGTTTATCAATTTACCAATTTATCATAACAAGAATCTAGCCTATCTTTTCCAAAAACATATTTTGCAATCAAATAGATGAGAAAAAGAAAATTCTTCAGTATCATCAGCTAAGAAAGAGAAAGAACAATAGAATCGGAAAACTGACATTTTATAACCTCCATACAATCATAGATTTAGGAAATAATCATCAACAAATGCTAAAGCAATTAGGTGAAAATATGATGGATAATTTTATAAGCAATCAGGCTAAGCCCTCCTAAATATACCAAACAAATAGCCAGCCTTAGGATCACTAAATAAGACAGTCATTAAGTCTCTTTATATGTTACTGAGGACACCATTCAACTTTTGAAATATTACTTTCTTAAAAAGACTAAATCCAAATCTGGTACAGCTTCTTCATCTAAATATCTTTTCACAGGAAATACATGGGTCAGTTAAAAAAAAAATAAAAGATCCAGGAAGTAAACAGATAAATGTAGGATATGGCTATTTACCACAATAAATGGCCCAATTTCTCTAAACTCAATAATACTTTATAAGAGAAGGAAGTCATTAGACACTATGTTGAAAATGAAACAAATAACTTTGGGGGAGGGAGGCCAGGAAGGAAAAACTGGGAGGAAATGAGGGAAAAGATGGCAGTATTCAAAAAAAAAATGTGCGATTGGGTGGGGGGGTACAGGGGGAGAGGATGGGCAGGGATGGGAAGGGGAAACAAAGGAGGAGGCTACAATGCTTGATAAGAAATGTACTCATTATCTTGCCCATGTAATTGTAACCCCTCTGGAAGGTATTCTCACAATAAAAAAAAAAATGTGCTCATTACCTGACTTAGGTAACTGTGACTCCTTTGTACATTACCTTTACAATAAAGGAATAAAAATAGCCAGGCACCAATGGCTCACACCTGTAATCCTAGCTACTCAGAAAGCTGAGATCTGAGGATTGTGGTTCAAAGCAAGGCTGGGCAGGAAAGTCCGTGAGACTCTTATCTCCAATAAACCACTAGAAAACCAGAAGTGGTGCTGTGGCTCAAACGGTAGAACACTAGCCTTGAGCTGAAGAGATGAAGGACAGCTCCCAGGCCCAGAGTTCAAGCCCCATGCATGACTGGCCAAAAAAGAAAAAGAAAAAAGAAAGAATAAAAATAAAGGGGAAAAAAGAGAAAAGGAAGAGATTTAGAAAGATAAAGTTTATAGAAAGACTTTTAAGTAATAATCTTAGCAGTTCAACAAAATAGAAATCTTGCCTTGTATTTTGAAGGCATTCACAGTAGAATATTTTTAATTCTTTCTTTTTATTGTCAAGATGATGTGCAGAGGGGTTACAGTTACATAAGTAAGGTAATTAGTACATTTGTTGTCAAACTCGTTACCCCTTCCCTCATTTTTCTCCTACTTTCCCTCCCCCTCCCTCCTCCCTTTAATTCTTTTTTTTTTTTTTGTCAGTCGTGGGGCTTGAACTCTGGGCCTGGGCGCTGTCCCTCAGCTCTTCAGCTCAAGGCGAGCGCTCTACCACTTGAGCTACAGCGCCACTTCTGGTTTTCTGGTGTTTTTTTTTATTGGAGATAGGAGTCTCACAGTCTCTCCTGCCCGGGCTGGCTTTGAACCATGATCCTCAGATCTCAGCCTCCTGAGTAGCTAGGATTACAGGCGTGAGCCACCAGCACCCGGCTTCCCTTTAATTCTTTTAAGAGAGTTTAATTTGAAAGTATTTTTATTAGAGTAGGCGTGAAAGTGACCTATCTTCTCAAATTTCATTTTGAATGGATTAAAAATATTTGTAAGACATTTCAATTTTTATAATGCATACAGAAAAGCTTTAATCTTTTTGTGTGAAATATGCTTGAAACTTTGAAAAATGTAATGCATTTGCTGTTTCAATGTACCATCTCATGAAGAGACAATAAAAGAAATCTATAGTTGTTTTCTTCCATTAAAAGAAAGTACAGACAGCAAGAAGAAAAATGAATCCCCATAAACAAACTATGTTTCAGAGGCTTAAGTGTAGGTATTTCAGTTAATTTTTCCTTATGCAGTAGGTTATATGGCCAAGGATTATGGGCATAATGAGCATAAAGATAATTATTTCTACTTGCAATTAAAATTTTAATGTAAAGAATCACATTGTGGTTTGCAACAGATGGTTTTGGTTTAGTTAAGGGAGATGAAGATGGTTCGAACATACAACTCTGCATCATGTTATATCTATTACCTATTTCCTCCCTTCCATAAGTCTGATCCTCACACATCTTACCTACTACAGCCTCGGTGTATTTTCCTTCCGTGGGAAGAGGGAAGTATTGGTTTGGAGATAAGTTGCTGCCATATCCCAGGAGAAAACCTTCAAGCTTTGTGTTTGGACTTGGGCGCAGGAACTTCAAGAAAATGGAGTCACTTGTGGTGTTGATATGGACTCTTAGGTTTGGCTTTTTACCTAACCATGGGAACAAAAACAAATGGACTGTTACTTTATGACTTTTGCATTCTCCTAAAGTTCTCTGCCAAGGTTGGTTGTCAAGACCTTGTCCTTAGAAAGCATGCATTCTCCTGAGTGGCATGTGCTATTCAGGATCACAGTGCATTCACGAGCGTGCACACACACACACACACACACACACAAACACACACACACACACACACACACACACACACACACACACACAGTGTGCTGTGTAGCATGTAAAGCAGCCTAGGAAACCAAAACAGTTGTAAGAGTTCAATACTTAGTAATGTATCATTGAGCAAGTAGGTGGATTTTAGACCTTTGTTGGCAGTGGACAGTTGGCCAGAATCTTCTTTTTATATACATTATACAGATATGGTAAAAGCCCTGAAGCTTCTTTTTGGTAAAACTGAATTACTGTATCTTCAAAACTCCCAGCCTTATCAGAACTGCTCTTCAGTCCCCAAACCCATAGTCTTCATCATTGACAGACCTATCTCTAGCACAGAGATAAAATAGATGGTAAAACAAAGACACCGATGGAAAAGAATGCTTATGAAGAAAGATGGTTGGTTCCACTGGGAGTTCAGTGGGTTGGTGAGGCAGCTACATGCAGATGTTCAATGTGAGTGTGATACAGACCTACAGACCCATTAGGGTGTCATTAGCTGGTCACTAGTAATTGGATGAGAAGAATGGCTTTAATCAAGACCTTAAAAAATCAAAGCAAAGAATCATACCAACTGGTAGCCTTTATCAAACAATGAGAAAACATTTGTTTTTTTGTCTCAGGAGCCAGAAAGGCACTAACTCTAGCTTATTACGGTGGCCAACCTGCAATTTCCTCAGTGTGCTAGAGGTCTAGTTTCCTGCTTTGTAAATGAAGGACAGCTACCTTCTGGGTTGGTTATTTACATGTTAGGGAGCTGGCACAACTATACAGCTGGCACAAAGCAATTGCTCAATAAATGCTTACTAATACCGGTTCATAATCCTTTAGCCATCATTCATAAAGACAAAAAGCTTTGTATGATGTTTTTCTTCTAAGTTCTTCTCAAAATAATACAACCACTGTGAACGATCATTGAGTCCATTTAGTTCTCTTTCTTTTAAGTGCCAGCAAGCTTCTTTTAGTATAACATACAAAGTAGGAAGAAATGGAAAAGAGAAAAAATATGTTCTGCTCCCCACAAAGGAAGTAGCTTTCCATTTCCTCTTCAATCCCATTCAGTGTGCTTATTCACATTTATCTTCAGAAATATGCTTAGGAAAGTCAGCAAGTGTCGCTTGCTGATCAAGACCCCAATGAAAAAATTATATGGTAGAAACCCTAAATTTTTTCTAATGCCCAAGTTTTTGATTTTCAAAATACATCTCACCCCAAGGGTTAGTCTGGTTTATTTTCCCTATTCCCACAGATTTAGTGATTTCAAGATAGTTTTGCCTGTTGGGAAAACTTTATTTACTGACTTAATAATGCCAGTTCTATTTGTTATTAACCAAAGTCATATGTTGACTATATACCATCTATACAGCATGAACTCCCCAAGGTTTCACTCCAAGTGTATTCTGTTTTAGTCCAGATCACTCTGGACAAGCTGGATCAATATAGGGGCATAACATGATTTTATTAAGCCTTTAAAAAAAGAAAACCATCTCATTCATAGACATGAAGTTAGAAATCACTCATCTCAAAAGCCAGGACTACACATTATACACATATTACTTCATATTTACCCCAAACTTGAAATTTTTCTAAGCTTTTGGGTCCTCAGATTACTATTCTTAGATCTGTGTAAAACTGAAACCCATCAATACTGAGTTGCTTACTCAAAGTCTAAAAAAGGTATTTCACAGCTAATTTATTAGTTTAATTCTTCCAAATGAGGTGTGTTTGACCTTTCTCACCAGCATGGGACATGCAGGTTCAAAACTAGATGTTAGGTTCTCACCAGATTGGATTTGCCTGCTCTCATTTTCACTGAGACCTTTATCATCATTCAACAGCATAAGGAGTAGCCAAACAGGCTATGATGCTCAAGCTAATGCTAATCTGATACTTTTGCAATGTATTAATTTCACAAGAGTTTGATAAGGAGATTTATCCTTCAGATAAAACACAGATTTTTGTCCAACCCCATTTTCCCCATGATCCTATATTAACTCCCCAGTTGTCCTTCATGACCAAGAGAAAGGAACAAATGTAAGTCAAAATATTCTGCTGGTTTAGAACGGTATCAGGTCTCACATGGAGTCAAACACAATCTGTTTCCAACACATTGTTGGGTTGAAGACAGTAAAGAATTTTAGTATACTCCCACTTGACTAAGAGCAGAGGGTCACAACATCAGCATCACATTAGACTTTTGCTCATGAACTCTGCCTGACACACCACATTCATTCTACAATGGAAAATGGAAGGGATGTCTACGCCAACTGGGAAGACCATAATGTGACTCTGAATCAACCAAGGTAGAAGTTATCAACCCCCACAGAGGACTTTTCATCACCCCTGCCTTCCTGTCTTCGGTTAGCAATTTATGCCAACGACTACATCAACATTACATAACTTATAAAACAAACTTTCATTAGTAACCCCACTCTGTCCAAATTTCCAATTCTATCTCTACAGTTAAAATGCTTAATATACTGAAAAAGAGAAATATCACCTCATCAGAACATCACCAAGTAAAGATAATCCTCCCAGTTCTTTATTTAGGATGTGAAATCCCTTCATTTTCTCAGCATATATTCCTTCCTCTGTTATTACTTCTCCACCTGTCTCATTTGATTTGGGCCAAATCCGTTCACAGTCTGCAACGCATTCTTCATCTTGGGCTCACAACTTTGCTCACATTGTTCACTCAGTACAGATCCCCTCTATCTTTGCTTTGCCTTTTCCACATATCTTCATTTAGTTATTAATCCACGGATTCAGTAGTCAGAAAGCAGATAATCAAGTTTTATTTCCCCTTTAGGCCAAATATGTTTGCCAAATGATGTTCCAAGTGAGTATTTGACTATTAAATAAAAGCTTCTACTCTTGGATAATTTCTCAGTGTATATATAGGCCCACATTAATTTTTACTTTTAATGATATAATATCTTTACTCTGAATAAATAAGAAATGATGCTTGTTTGAAGCCCAAATCATTAAGTGTGGCATGTACTAGCAAGTATCTTTTAACAATTAGTAGTAGTTAGACTTATGATAAGTGACTTGCAATAGGGATTGTGGAAATATATACAATTTTTTATAATCTATAAGTAGTATAGCATGTCAAATACGATACCCCTAAAATCCTAGGATTACAGTGAAATAAGTTACTGGAAGAATATTTTATTATATTTTAATGTAGGAATCAAAGCATATGGCAAGAGGTATAAGAGAAAACTTTTTGAAAAGAGTGCGACCATTTTAGAAAAGCAACACTGCCTTGGAGAACAAACTGCACTTTGGCAAAGTAGAATCTTGGATCTATGACAGTGGTTTCTAACCCTCTGTTTGCAACATTCTACAGTATCTCTAAATATTTCAAAGGGTGTTGTGAAATTCTGGAAGAAAAAATATCTCCCAAGGCAAAATTAATTCACTGTTAATTTTAAAGAGTAAATAAATGTTTCAAAGTATTAAAATCAGTGATAAGGGGATAAGGCTGGAAAACCAGACAAAAGGTGCACATAGATCTGTAAATTCAAGGAACTCTCAGGATCCATCACAAGGGCCAGGTCGCAGTTGTTGCCCAGAAACTATGAACAGTTCAGTCCAATTCTGTAAAGAAACATAGCTCTGGTTGGAGGTGTGGCTCAGCAGTTGAGTAAGTGCCCTGGGTTTAATCCCTAACACAAACAACAACAAAAGAAACACAACCCAATGGTACTTAGTGAAAGCAGCTAAATGGCCCTGTGCATCTACAGACCTTAGAGAAAAGAATAACATTTAAAGCATGCAGTAAGAGAATTTTTTATGTCTAATTGTTCATAAGATTACCTTCCTCTTAAAAAATATTTCAGAACCTGATTTAAATTGTTGACACCAAGTTGGTCAAGATGATAAAACACCATAAGAGAAAAGGACAGAATATTAAAAGTTTTCTTCTGGAAGTAAAGAATACTTAGAAGTATATATCAATGTAGAAAAGACAAGAAAAAAAAGTAAAAAAAAAAGACAAAAACAAAAGAAGTGTATCAATGAGAATTACCTTAGTTTATATCATCTAAGTGTTGTAAGATCCTAATGAAGATTAGAAATAAGCCAAGTCAGGTTGGGCTTAACCTAAATTAGATACAGCCTTAATTAGAGTATGAAGAGTATTGATTAAAAGAACAACTGTAATACCAATGTCAATAAAATACTGACTCATTTCAGGGTTAAAAAAACATATTCTGACTCTTACCTCTATTATGTTCTTTTTTTCTATGTTTTTATTAGCATATATTAGTTGTGAAGGGAATTTCATTGTGATATTTCTATGTATACAATGACAAAATTTACTTAAAACTATTTTAAAAGGTTTCATTATTCTATTTTCATACATTTATATAAAGAACTTCGGCCATATTCACTCCTTTCCTCCTCTCCATTTACTCTTTCCCTTCCCATTGATATCTTCCCCCCAGAAGAATCTGTCTTACATTTGTGTGATACATTTTAGCATATTACTTGTACAGATGTGATTCATATATGTACATACTATACTTTAATAAGATTAACATCTCTGTTGCTTTCTCTTTCCTCGTTTCCCCGACCCTTTCAGTGAATTTTCTTGTTATCTTCATACATAGATATATTCTGAATGTGAATGTTAATGGTATAACAACTTAGGAGATCTGTTGGAAACTTAGCAAATAACCCATTAATTTTACCAGGGAGAAATGAAATATTCAACTAGAAATAAACCCAAATGTCCATCAGCTGCTAAGTGGGTAAACAAAGCATGGCTCATCCATACAATAGGCTATGACTCAGCAAGTGAACAGAGTAAATGACC